CCTGAGTTCAATCCCTGGTATCAGGAAAAAAAAAAAAAAAATAGCTGGCTACAAGCAAAGTTTGGGAACAGCACTGTCTGCTAAGCTGCAGCCCAGTAGAATCACAGCATTCCTGACAAGCTCGGAAAACTAAGGAAAAATTGAGAGAAAAAAAAAAAAAAAAAAAAAAGGCCATGGGGCTGGAGCAGGGGCGAGACAGGGCACAGGGCCTGGGAGGTCAGCAGCTGCCATGCTGGGAGGCACCGGTGCCAGTCAGCAGTGTAGGAGGCAGCCAGTGAGAGCACCTCCCCAGGCGCAGGGGCACAGGCCTAGCTGGGCCAGACTTCAGTGTCCCCAGGAGGGAAACAAAGGCAATGTCTGGGCTGGGGGTCCCCAAAGCACTGCCCCAGGAGGGACTGCAGCACTGAATCTGCATCCAACGGCTCAGCACCAAGGAAAGCAGAGGCCAGGCATAGGAACAGGTGAGCGGCGCCTTCCTGAGCACAAGGAGCCACACAGTGCACCAGTGCCCTGCTGCAGAACCTGCCTCAGCCAGCAGGAACACAGACAGATACTTCTTTAATACCATTTGCATTAGCAACAGGCTCTGAACAGACAAGGTTGGCTAAAGGACTCCGCAAAATCCTTCCTTGCTGCCTCACAAACTTGAAGAGGAAGGCCACATCCTGCAGAGCAGCAGCCCAGGCTTCTCCCTGAAGACCCACAGGGAAGCATCTCCCTGGGAGCTGCAAGCTAAGGGGACAATCCCACAGCTGACTTTCCAGCCCTGGAATCCAGGGACCTCATCACCAACCAGGACAGCAGACAACCAGGAAGGCAGAGAGGATATGGACAAGAAAGAAGCTTCAGCCTGGGGACAGCAAGTCACCAGAGCCCCAACAACTGGAGGTAACCATGAACAAGGACAAAGCCAGCCTTCAGTGGGAGTTCACAGCTGCCACAAGCCTCCAAAAGTGACCTGGCAGGGAGGACACAGGCGGTGCCTAGCTAAGACTGTGTCAGGCCCTGCCTGCCCTCTGCCTTCCCACAGGTGGCTCCTGCCACACTCCTTAAGCTGAGCTTCAGTGTCAAGGTTTCCTCAGGGGCTGACGCCAACTGGAAAGGGACCAGCTGGCCCACTGCTCACTGGCTGCCGCAGTTGGTTCTGAAGCCCATCTCTTTGGACAGAGTGCGTCCTCATACTCACAGGTTTTCTGGCTCGGCACTAAAGGGATCAGCATTAATTAGCAGGCGGCTGATCACTGAACCGCCAGGCAAGGAACCAGACATCCCAGCCCGAACGCCTGCGGAGACAAAGGAGGCGTGTGCAGAAGCTGCAGAGCAAGATCATTCAACAGTTCCAAAATAACAGATGAACATGACCAAGTTTTAACCATCAGTAGGTCAAAAATTACCACCATCCTGTACTTATGAAACAAAAATAAGTATAATACACAGCAGAACTCAACCCCTACAAGATACCAAAAAACGGCCTTCCTAGGCTGCCTGGGTATCACTTGGGCTTTATCTGTCAGCATCTTCATAAACGCTCAAGTTACGTCTTTCTGTACATCCATAAGCTCTCAGTGACAGCAAAACTACTGTATCCACGCCAACTGTGTACCCAGCAATTCAACAGGCCTGACTACCGCCCAGTGAGCATATGAGCCCTCGCAGATGGGCAGCGAAGCACTTACTTGGATACAGGATCTTGGTGTTCAGTGCGGGCAGGCCATCCCGGCTTCCCGTCTGAGGAGGAAGAGAGGCAGAGCTGCCCACAGACAGACCCCCTTTGCTCATCAGTTTTTCACAGGGGGGTCGGGATGCTGTAAAACAGGACAGAAGCCTTCCTGACTATCCGAACCCACATAGCTGAAATCCTGTGAGCCAGAGCAAAATAGGCGTGTAGGGCTATGGGCACCCAGGGGTGAGAGGAAGGGGGTGAGAGGGGCTCAGGAGACATGCTATGGCGTGGACTCATCTGGAGAGCACAAGCACTATAGATGGCAGCTTGGGGACAGAGTGGCTGAGCACAAAGTCCCTCAGTGACCTGGCCATAGTGGGCTCTGTGCTGAAGAACCTGAGGCCTCCTATGAGCAGCTCTGGGGAAAAGTTAGGACAGACCCCAGGCACTCCTCCAACCCCACAGGTCCTACCAGTATCCCCCAGACCAACTGTACACCTCGGTGACATGCACCCAAGCTACAAGCTCTGGCACAGCCCAGGGCCAAAGCAATGACCAGAAAGCTCCTCAAAGCTCCTGGCAACAAGCACGCTTGCCACAGGGACAAAAGTAAAGCCCAACCCCCACTGATATACCTCTGCGGTGGCTTCTGCCCGTGGGGACCCCACAGCCCTCACTGTGGGCTGGCAGCGGCAGGCACATCTTGTCATCCTTCCTCAGGTCTTTCTTTTCCTCTGAGGTGGAGAGGCCCAGCACAAAGCCTTCCTGCACCTGTGTCTGGGCATTCTGCTCATCGACCGCTGACAGGGAGAGGGTGCTACAGCTGAGCCCGGTATGGTGACCTGTGCTCCCCAGGGCCCCTCAGAGGGCTCAGGCCAGAGTCACCCCACCATCCAACTCCCCACCCTCAGTGCTAACAAGCTGGGGAGGAGCCCAGGGGCAGGAGGCCACTGAGGGAGCCAGGTCACAGAGAACAGGCAGCAAGAAGAATAGGCACACTGATGCCATGTGAAGGCTGTGACCACGAGGCTCACATTGCTTAGAATAAAGTGAGGGAAAGGGTGTGAAGCAGCTTCTGGGGATAAGTATGGGGGTTAAGGTGCTGTACTTGCTACCACGGTGTAGAGGTCTGTAAGGGTAAGAGACAGAGGCCAAGTGCCAAGGTGGTGCTTCAGTTTCCCTCCAGGTGAGTCTGTCACCGGGGCCCCATTACCTTTCTCTGTGTGCTCTATGATCTGGCGGATTGCTTTCTTTAGACTATTAGCTCGAAGCATGAGCTGCTCCCGGGGGCGGAAGATCTGCGGCCGAGCAGGGCATGCAGAGCCCACCAGGCGATCCCCAGCAGAACCGCAGACACTGCCCGCCCCATCACCATCTTCCGTCTCCTCAGCAATGGTGGGGGGCGGATTGGGCAGAGAGGATGAGGCCTGGGACTCATCATCCAAGGTCTTGAGGAGCGAGTCCAGCTTCTCTTTCAAGACAGAGCACTAGGTGGGGAACACACTGGCATGAAAAGCACACCCTCCACACTGGAACCCCTTCCACAGGCCTGCAACGAACCTTCTTGGCCATGACCTCCGACTCCTCTGAGCTCTCGGTCGTCTTCTCATAGGCCTTGCCTACTCGGGCCACGAAGTCCTTCACTGTCTCACAGAGAACCCTGGGGAGAATGAAAGGGGTGAGGCTGGGACCATGGGCACCCTTGGGTGTGGCCCTGCCATCCGAAGGCCACACACTCACTTGGCTGACGAGATCACCACAGAGTGCTGGTCCGAGGTCAGGATTTTAGAAAGGTGAGCTGCAACTGAGTCTTCATAGAAGAGGATCTGCTGCACCTGCAGTTGTCCCAGAACAAGGGGCTTGGTAACCTACAGTCACTTGGGAGCTCTGTGTGTGACCCTGAGCCCAAGGGCTTTTCCCCAAACCCAGCCCTGCAAGATGACTGTGCAGTCCCTACCCCCTCCGCTGAAGCCTCGGCTCATTCAGAGGTTAATGCGAGCCAGCCAATACTCTAGGGGAGATTTCGGAAGCCCCAAGGAGATGGGGACAGACCAAAACACAGGTCTGAACAAAAGAGAACCTGTCCACAGTGATGCTCTCTCCTGCTTAGTTTGAGGTCAGAGGCAACCTTCTAGGGCCCCATACCCTGACTCCTCCATCCTTAGTGATAGGTTCATGGACAGAGGCCACACTTGCAGTAGGGACATGAGTCTCATCATAGTGGGACAAAGTCATGCCCTCCCTGCTAGTCCAGCCCACTGACACCCGGGCTCCACCCCCACACAGCTACTCTCGCCCTGCCTAGGGCCGGCAACCTTCCCTACAGGCCAGGGCCAGGTAAGTAGTTTAAGCTTCACGCAACTCTTTCTCTCAAACAAAGCCAGGCCAAGGCAACTGGGCACTTGAGCCTGTGAGCCTGCAACCCTGCTTGCTGACCACTGCCTTGGCCCCCTGGCTGCCAGACCACGCAGGCAGAGCCCTACTCCACTCAGCCAGCAGTCAGTTCAGTGTGATGAGTGCAACTGAGGCCCTGAAAGGGGGAGGACAAGGTCTGTGCTTCAGCAACTTGGGCCTGAATAATAAGGGGAGGGGAAGGGAGGGGAGGGGAGGGGAGGAGAGGGGAGGGGAGGGAAAGGTGCTCATGTCAGGGAGTGAGTACAGGGTTGCTGTGACACGGACAAGCTGTGCAGGGAGGCCAGGGAGTTGGAGAGACACCCAGGAAGCAGGAAGTCACAAGAAAGGCCAACAGGACAACTTTCCAAAGCCCTGGTGAGAGCCCAGGAAACCCCTAACAGGACACATAGCCAGCAGTGTGAACAGTGAGCACAAAGTCAGGCCTCACTGGGTCCTGCCTTGAGGCACCCACACAGTACCTCAGAGTCTTCACTCAAGTCTTCCGTGACAGTGGAGGATGAGGCCTGCCGAGGGAGCTTGGTTTCATATGCCATGACGCTCCACCTACAGGGGAGCAGGAACAGTTCAGCCAGGTACCTAGGGCAGTCCCTCGCTCCTTGGCCTAGGTACCATTACAACTTCACTGATCCCTTTGCTCTGACTACACATCTGTAACTTGGCTCTTCTGACCCACCAAAGACCAAGGTCTCTCCACCTCAGGGTATATGAGAGAAGCCAGAAGAATCGCCACTGGCAGGGGCCCAGGGAAGCCAGCCAGGAGGTTCCCATGAACAGTACCCTTGAAGGTGCCACTCCTGGGAGAGATGGCTTCCCCTCCCATGAGGCCACTCCAATACCACAGCCCTCCATTTTCCCTACTGGGGGCACCAGGTAGGGGCCCTTCACCATCACCAACACCCAGGCCACAGCATGTGGTCACCAGGATGCTGTCACCAGCTCAGAACCAGAAGCACCCACTCCAGGAAGCCTGGAGAACAGTTACCCAAAACTTCTGGAAATAGAAGGTGGGACCCTGGAGCCGCTCAAGTGTGTGCCCAGGAGCACTTTGCCAAGGGCTAGAAGGCCCCTTCCATACAGCCCTCTAAGTGTGGCTCATAGGATTCTAGGACATGATTGTTAACCTTGTTGTCTGTACCTTTTCTACAATCTGACCAGAACCCAAAACAAGAAAGGAATGCATGCTTAAGTCAAACTTTCACAGCCCCTGCACAGCACGGTGGCCCACGCACCTGTCCAGCATCTTCCTGCTGGCCCTCTCCAACTTCGCCAAGATCTGGGGGAGCTGAGTGTCGTCATCACAGGCTGCACCCCAGCCAAGCACGCGGGCCAGGTCATTCCCTGTCCCCAGGGGAAGCACTCCCAGCTGACACTAACAAAAAAGTAGGGAAGATGTGCGCTCAACCACAGGAGAGCAAGAAGCCCCCCACTGCCCACCCAGAAGCCTGTTGCAATTGCCACACTTGGAGTGTCCGAGAGAGAATGATCTGAAGTACATGGCCTGCACTTCCTGGCAGAGCCTACCAGAGGGAATGGGTGTCTTTGTGATGCAGGGGCAGAGACCAGGGTCACCAGGCCTCACTCCTGAAGCCCACCTCTTGGCTGTTCCCTGCCTCTATGATCTGCCTCCAGACCTCAGGATCTAGGTGTCCGAAGCCCATCCACACCCCTTCCACAGCCCTTGCTACTGTCACTCGTGCCTCTTAAAACATTTCTGATGGTTTCAAAGTCTTGTCAAAATAAACATGCAAGGGCCACTGCTGAGCAGACACTCCAGGTCCCCCACCTGCCACCAACCAGAGCCTAACCTTGTACCTGGCATTCCCATACTGGAGCCCTGGAGCCCCTGCAGCCAGGGCTGTGCTCAGGATCTCCAACACAGGCTGCCCAGGGCTCTCCAGCAGTAAACACAGACAACACAGTAACCAGCCAGAGCGCAGCCCATGGAGGTCAAAAGATCCTGAGGCTGGGGCACAGCCTGGCCTGCCTACAGCATTGCACAGCCACCTGTCCCCTCCCCTGCCAGCCTGTGAGGCCAGCAGCATGACCAGGATGGCACAGGAGGTGGGAATGGACACTGGAGTGCACACAGGCAGGAGGGACTGGGCTCAGCCACAGCAGGGCAGAGGCAGGCTCTGAGGGAGCAGAAAGCAGACAGGTAGAGTACCAGACAGGGATCTGGCAGTTCACTGTTGGGGTGGGCCCCATCCCCGGAGAGGCTAAGGAGGACCACCTGGTAAGTATGCACAAAACAAGCAGGGGCTGGGTTACACAGACAGCCTAAACAGAAGGAAGTAGTGGGACAACATCTGTACCAGCACCCAGGGAAGGGGAGGACACAGGCTCAAGAGCCACTAAAACCTCTGCTCAGTCACCTGAACAGACTGTGAGTGCAGGCCCCACAGAAACAGCACAGGCTGGCACTCCGCAGCACCAGGCCAGGATGCCCAGCACACCCCCAGGGACACATGGCAGCAAACCCCCTGCACATCCCAAGCCTCCTCAGGAAAAGGGTGAGAAGGAGGTGTGCAGGAAGCCAGAGGAAAGAAAGGCCACCATGTGTGGGGCCCTGGGGCAGCTGGGGGCAGAAGGGAGTGTCTGGAGGAGCATGAGGGCCACAGAGAAATCAGAGGAGACAAATGCTCACAAAAGCCATTCAGCAGACTCATGAAACAAATCCCTAGATTACTATGTCCTCAACTAGAAAGATCAACAGTGAACTGGACGGTCATCCACTAAACCAACAAAACTGCACGGGCTGCTCTGGCGCCATCACTGGAAGGCACTGTTTCCCTTTACTGAGCTCTGGCCTGACCAGGCCTGGCTGTGGCAGCTGCTCTAGGTCACTACCATCACACTTCTAAGATACAACTACACAAGCAGCTGTGACCCAGCTCAGGGCACTGGAGCCAAGCCTGCTGAAAATGTGCTTAGCAGGTGGTTTTTTTTAAAAGGACACTAAGAATGAGCTGGGGTATAGCTCAGTGGTGAACTTACTTAGCCATGTGGCCCTGGGTTCAAGCCCCAGCACCAATGGGAGGGGCGTAAGACAACACACAAACCAATACCTGGTAATCTTGGATTGTGACCAAGTATCTCAACAGGACAAATGACAAAAGTCACAAAGGAAAGGACAACCAAAAAGAATTTTGTTGACAAATAACAAACTGGGGGACAAAATCTGCAATGTCAGACAACATGATACTAATAGGACAGCAATTAAAAAAAAATACACTAAATATTACAAAAGAAAATGAGAGAAAAACATGCCCAGCCAACTTATCTAGGGCCAGGGACACACTTCAGTGGCACAGCACCTACCTGGCAAGCACAAGGTCCTGAGTTCAACTCCTGGTACCAAAAAAAGGGGGGGAAACTCATCTAAAACCTTACTGTCTGTTAATAGAGACATTACTTGACTTAAAAGTAATTAAAGGAATACTGTAAAAATAGATTATTTGCTTAGTTGGGCAAAACTATAAAGATAAGCTCCATGGTCAAATGCAACATAGGGTGGCACGGCTCTGACAGAGTGCCAGGGTTTAACCTTGGGGGCCACTGGAACAATCAAAGACACAGAGGTGTCCCGGAACCACCTGAGCTCACTCACAGGAAGTGACCAGTCCTGGACGCTGCCCACCAGGACGCCACCACACAGAGCATTTTACTGAAGGGCAGCGCAGGATGCCTGGCATACCACTAAGCACAGAGCATGGTGCACAGGGGCATCTCGAGTCTGCCTAATGCTGCACCACAGACCTCCTGGATGCATGTGGACACAGTCTGAAACAGTCACAGAGCTATCACCAGAGCTAAACCCTGGAAGTAAAACTTGAATGAATATATGATCTGGAAGATCTATTTTTTTTTAGGACTTTTTAAAAATGTATTTAGTACAGGGTCTACAGGATCTATAGGGTCTCACTACACAGATCGGACTTGTAGTGATCCTATTTTCAGCCTCCCAAACACTGGGATTACAGGCACATGTTACCACGCCCAGTCTCAATTGCCATCTCAGCGTGCCCCAGGGTCAGAGCTGCCAGGGATTGAACCCCCAGCCCCTGCATCTGGCTAAGCAGGAACTTTAATCTGCTGAGCTATCTGGCTGGCCCTGATCTATTTTTACTTAATACAAAAAACATATCTAATGTGCAACACCAAAACTTCAGGAGCAGAGGTACCTTTCCTCCTCTCCTCCCAGCCCAGAAGTGGCAAGCAAAGGGAACCACATCACTCCTGTGAGAAGAGCAGAAGGACAGCACTCGCAGACCTACGGTAGCTCTCGTTACCCAGTCGACCTCCCATCCCTCAGCTACGCAGGCCCAGGCCTTCTAAGATGCCCTGGGCTCCTGTCCTGCTCTCTGCCCTTCTCTGGCCCAGCTCAGGCCACAGTCTGAATCATGACAATGCAAGACAACGTTGTACTCTGCCCTGACCCCTCCCTCCACCCCAGGCTGGGCACCCCCCCTGCCAGGCACCTGCTTGTGAAGGTTCAGGCTGTCAATTTCAGAAAGGACCCAGCCAACACTACCATCCCCGCCACAAACCAGAATCCGGAAGGTGTCAAACTTCTGGAATAACCGCAAGCTGCAGAGAAAAGAGAGTCGGTGAGCCAATACACAGTTCTGAGGAGCCGCGGCACTCCGCTGCCCCTGCCTCTGTGCACATGGGGACCTAGCCAGCCCTCCAGCCAGGGCCAGGGACCACCCCATGTGAGAAGCCGGAAGTGCTACACAGCCCTTCTCAGCCAACCCTCCTACCCCAGTTGTGCCCTACTCTGTCCTGTGCCATGAGTCTGGGTACTCAACCCCAGGAGAGATGGTCAGGCCTCTGCCTGACACTCAGCACATACCCTGTCTGTCTCCACAGTGCAATTACTCCATGGGCGAGGTGGCCCTGACCCGTCCCCTGTAAGTCCTTCTCAGTCTCCTTCCTGGGCCCCTGCCCTGGGTCCCACCCTAGGGCATCCCAGCTGCCTTTGGCCCACTCTTCACCCTCTTCTTGCCTGACCCTACCCACATGCTCTCCACATGACACCAGGGCTAACAACACCAAATCAATGCTCCAGGCTGCTCCTGCAGTCCCACACCTGCACCTGGTCACCAGGGCAGAGACCTGGAGTTCCACAGTGGCTCCAGCAGGACATGACCCTCCTTGCTGAGCAGCCCTGGGCTCTCTTCCTCCACCCTCACCGTGCCTAGCCAGGTTCAGCCACTATCCTTCCTCTTGTCAGGTGTCTCCCCTGTGGATGCTGGCCTCCCCCCAGGAAGGAGTACAGACTCTTACCACTCAGGCCTAGCCAGGAACCCTGGCCCGTGCATGTGGGGAGAGATGGGCAGGGAGCACAGCGGGCAGGCCAGCTCTGCTGGACACAAGCACAGCAGAGACATGGAGGCTGGCCTGTAGCCCAGCCCCTTCCTAGCACCTGCCAAAGAATCAGGGTTTCACTGCACTGTCGTGACCCTGACTGTCCACACTTGCCCCTGTTGTCTCTTCACATACTTTTTCTTTTAACGGTACTGGGGATTGAACCCAGGACATCTGCACTAAGTTACATCCCTCATCCTTTATTTTTTATTTTGAGACAGGACCTAAGACATTAAATTGCCCATGCCAGTCTCAAGCTGCAATCCTCCTGCCTCAGCCTTCCAGAGGACTAGGATTACAGGAGTGCACCTGTGAGTGCCACACCAAGCTATCATCACATACTTATTCTGACTACAAATTGGGGACTTTTATGTGCATACCAGAATTATTATTTATTATTCTCAGTTCTACTGCACAGTTGCCTTTGGCAACCCACTAAACACCACCTGAGCCTCTTGGCCTCCCCTGCTGGACAAAGGAGGTCAGGCAACGCCTCTTTCCCTTTCTTAAGCACTTTTGCCAGCGGCTCCAGTGACTCGACCCCAGGAGATTGGAGGCTGCCTGCGGGGTTGAGAGCACTGCCTTTGAGCAAACAGGCTGCTCTGTGGGATTTCTGTCTAGCAGGCCTTGAGGCAAGTGGAGAAGCCAACCCGTAAGGCACATAAAGGACCCACGTTCACAGAACACCAGGCAGTGCACACCCATACACGCGTGCGCACGGGGTGTCAGCCAAGGACAGGCAGTGAGTCAGCGCAGCTCAAGTTACAGCAGCACTGGGCTCCAAGAACAACACCCTTCCTCCAGGCCCAAGCAAGCGTGCACACACCAGACAGCAGGCCTGGAGCACACCACATGAGGCCGGCAACCTGCCAGCACCCTCTCAGAGCCCCGCCTTGAATCGGCCCTCCACACAAGGATGGAATTAGTGCAAATGGCAAAACTTACAGAAGCTCGTGGTTTCTACAAAGCTAAGCAAAGTTTAGAACAATTGAAAGGACAGACACGGGCCCCTAGCTTGCACATGGAAGAGAGAGCCCAGCCTTGTGCACCCTGGACTGCCTATGTGCCAAGGGGAAACAGGTCGGACTCTTGGAGGACAGCTGCTTCCTGGGTACGCAGCAGCCAGAAAGGAGGGCGGCAGCAGGTCTGTGCGCGCTAACTCAGAGACAGTGGTGCTACAGCAGGTACATGCGCACAGCAGGCTGCCCCCCACAGCCTAAGTGGGGACCTGGCCAGCTCGGAAGGCGTGTGCATGTGGCTGCACTGTGTGTGTGTTCACACGTGTATGTGTGCCAACCCTGTCCAGTAAGAGTAGGTTCCCTCCCTCTTCTACTGGAATTTGGAGAGGGGTGGTTTGAGACAGGCTGCTTTCTATTTTAAATTTTCTGTACCTTATTTACAAACCAACAAAACTTGCAAAAGACACATCCTCTAAGTCTCCTACCCAAGGTGCGGTCCTCCATTCATGAGGTCGAAGACCTGGGCAGGGTTCAACAGTTGCTTGAATCTTCTGAGGAACTTTACACCCTGGTTGTCTCCACTTTTAGAATTGACGAAGACCAGCAGAGGACTTGTGCAAGATGGGGGACAAGTCGCTTTCCAGAACCCTAGATATGAACATGGAACAGGACAAAAGAGCTGTGAAGTTGGGAAGAGGTGACCAGTAAGCAGCAGCAGATGGTGCAGGGGACTGGGCACATATACACGCACATGCCAGTAAACCAGACAGGGAAGAGCAGGGCACACCCTGGGTGTGATGGGTGAGTCTCACCCAACCTGATCTCATACTTACAAGAACTACAAATTTCACATGGCTGCACTGTCCACATCCTGTGCCCCAGCCCATCTGACAGTAACTTCCACTAAGCCACATACCCCAGAGATCTTGTCCCAGTCTGCCAACAGGCCTGCATATGTACCAGCTGGAAATGTGCAAGCAGCCCTGAGCCAGCCTACTAGAGTCAGCCACACAGGGCTAGGTGCAGCTCCTACAGCTTCTGGCAGAGCCAGAGGCCAGAGACCAGTTCCTGCCCGACAGCCAAATGGACCTGTCACCTTCAGAAGAAATGTCAGCCTCAATGCTTAACTGTGTCTGTGGCAACTTCTACAATGCCACTTGCCCCCTCCACAGCCTCCTCCCACCCCACAACTGTGTCTAGTCTCTCGCTAACCATAGCACAGGCACAAAGGACCCACCATCAGAGTCAATGCTGTTCAGCGCCGTGGGAGGGATGACTGACACCTTGCACAGGCCAAGCGGGCATTTGGTCATCAAGGACTCTTTACATAATGTGTGGACCTGGAACAGAATGCCCATGTCACCAGAGGCTCACGGCTTCTATCAGGGCAGCTGACCTGCTCCCACTGAGCATAGCACCCTGCCCTTGCCTTGGTGGCCCAGTGCTGCTCACAGGAGCAGAGAAAAGGACAGCATTTACCCCCACCTCTCACAGAGACACTAGCAACTATCAGAGCAAGGGCCCCAGCTGTGGGACAGCAGCCTCTGGTGCCCGCCTGTGCCTCAGCTCCTTCTGGATGTTCCGGCTCTGACCAGGAACTGCATAACCATCTCAACGACCAGCCTGGGGCCCAGGGCCAAGGGCTCCCCTCACTGGTCACTCACCATGGCCTTGCACCATAGGCAGCGCCAGTCCTGCAGGCGCAGCACGCTGCCACAAGTCTTCTCACACACTGTGCACTTGGCACTCACTGGCAGGTTTCCTTCTAGCCACTGGTGGGGCATAGCAACCTGCAGAACAAGCAGGGACACAACACACTACGGCCATCCTGGATCTGTGGTGTAAAGCCAGCCAGAGCCCAAGGCCAAGACACTGGCCCAATCTGAGGAATAGTAAGGGACCATGTTGGGGCGCAGCCCATACCGCGGCTGCCAGAGGGTGTGCTATGAGGCTCACAGGATCAAGTCAGTGAAGACACAGGTGATCCAGTGGCCCCCACACCATCAGCTGATGCATGCAAGAACATCAGGGGCAGGGGCTAAGCAGGTCAGTGCCTGGTGGGACCCTCATACATACCCCATCCTCATCCTCAATGATGTCCTTCCCAATCGAAGCCAGTGTAGTCCACTTGCAGTTATTGGTTGCACGCACAGCACATCGTTTGTGGGCCTTAAATTTGCACACTGTGAAAGGAGCACACAAAGCAATAGACACTATTTATGCCAGGCACCTCCACGTGGGGGAGGCAGCCTGTCAGGGAAGCTGGGGCGCCAGGCCTCTCAGTCACAGCCCTCTGAGAACCTTAGCCCATGATGGGAAATGCAACAAGGAGACGAGAGGAGGCAGAGGGCAGCAGAAGTGCTGGTACGACCACTGCACTCTGACTCTGCAGCATGAAGGTGGAGCCAGCATCATGTGGACTCTGACATCTGAACATCATCTAACTTCTATGGGTCACACAATCTTCTGAATGTTATCAACCATTTTTGTTTTGTTTTCTTTTGTTTTAGTTTTGAAACAGTGACTCTCTGTGCAGCTCATGTTGGCCTTGAACTCACTATGCAGCCCAGGCTAGGCTCAAACTTGCAGCTATCCTCTTACCTCAACCTCCCAAGTAGTAGAATTATAGGCGTGCACCACTATATCTGGCTCTTCAACCATGTAAAATGCAAAAGCCAGTCAAAACTCACATGCTAAAGAAACTACATGGCACACAGGACCTGGCCAAAGGCTCATATCCCATGCATATGGCCACTGCTCTATGCCTCTGTCAGGCATCTTTAATCCCTGTCTCCACAACTCAGACAGCAGTGCAGCATGACCATCCCTGGAAACATGGCCCATGTGCTTGATGTCTACCATTTCCCTTTAATAAAAGCTGGTTTACTGCAGTCTCCTCCATGGGTAAAACAAAAGAATGCAGGGGACGCCTCACTGACTGCAGGGTAGGTGGCAACTTATTTATGGGGACTGTGTTTGGATTTCCAAGGCTCTGCCAAGCAAAACGCCAGGCCACCTTTTATAAGAGAAGCATAAAAAGCAGTGCTCATACCTTCACAGGACAGACCATGGGACGTGACCCCTGACAGGGCCTCCCGGCACACATTGCAATAAGTCGGCCGCGCGTGGGAACAGGCATACCAGTTGTGCGTCCCTGAGAAATGGTCCATGCTGTACTGGGTGGGCTAGAAGAGTGAAACAGATAGCAGAAGTAAGGTGCCTTTCCAAACCCCTTTTTTTTTTTTTTTTTCAGAACCGGGGATTGAACTCAGGCCCTTGCGCTTGCTAGGGAAGCGCTTATTCTACCAAGCCATTTCCCCGGCCCCCTAAACTCTTAAAGGAGCAATTTGAACAGGTTGAACAAAGTATGCTGGAGCGAAGGAAGTCATGCACCAGTCAGCTAAGAGACAGCCTTTGACAAAGCCCACACAGGGGCCAGAGATAGCACAATGGTGCAGAAGGTAGCTCTTCTAACCTCAAAGTGCTCCCGGCTCTGTACCGTCTTGAGTGCTGCGATCCAGTCCTCCATCTCCTTCCTGTTGTCAGCACACAGGATGAGTTTCCTACAAGGAGTGATGACCTGGAGGAAGAACACACGCAACACACCCTGAGACCACTTTCAGGATGCATGCTGCAAACACCTATGTGGGAAAACAAGTGTCATTCATATATTCACACTGAGAACATAAACATGGTTATCAAGTCACTAAATATCAAGAACAATCTCCAACTAGAAAGACGCAAACGTAGTTTTGATATTCATCAGCAACCAACCTAAATGGACATGTGCAACAACGCAGTACTTAGATATACAAATTATAAACTGTAGGAAAGCCTGAGGGGAAAGGAGGACATGCAAACATAGGAGCACAGCTATGTTACTCCAGACAGCCTGCACCTGGTGACCAGCACTTAAATGGCACAGGAAGTCTGACCAGTTACTCCAGAGCCCAGAGAACCAAGCAGATAGCACACAGCATGTGAAACTGTGACATCATCTACCATGGTCGGCCTCAACAATTTACCTCACCACAAGCCCAGCAATGATCCACAAATGAAAAATGATACCCATAGAACAGAAAGGTTTTTTACAAGTCAACAGAAAAACATTTCTGAGAGAAAAACAGCTGTTGACCCGCACTTCACAGAAGTATGAAAGCCTGCTTAATCACGGTAGACATTAGGAAATGGGATTAGCACATCTATTCCTACCCGTCAGAGGCAAACAGTATGAGATCTCTCTCTCTCTCTCTCTCTCTCTCTCTCTCTCTCTCTCTCTCTCTCTCTCTCTCTCTCTCCCTCTCCCTCTCCCTCTCCCTCTCCCTCTCTCTCTCCCTCCTCCCTAACTCCCTCCCTCTCTTTCTCCCTCTTTTCGAGCCAGGAATCAAACAGTGCTGTGACCCTGAACTATGTCCCCAACCCCCAGTACAGTACAACTTTTCTAAACAAAAATCTGACAAAATTTGTCAGTGTTTTTCAGAGGCATCATCTCTTTTTCATAATGATGTTGAGTACGTAGATGGTCCCAAAGCTCAATCTACAGAAGAAGCATGGCTTTCACATCTCTGTCCTGGCTCCCAAGGGTTACTTGGAGAGCAGTACAGGGCACGCTTCCACACGAAGGTGCATATCCACACCTGTCTACGTGTCTATACCACACATTGTGCCCCTGTGCTCGCACCCAAGCCTCTTACCATCCAGGCACTGCTCCTGAGCAGCGTGAGGGCTTCTGGTCTTCCCACAGCAATGCTTCACTCCATTGAGGAGAACAGCAAGCCACTCAGCCAGTCCTTGTCTAGTATCAGCAGTCTGGCATTGTTTCAAACCAGGCATGCTGATCCCAGCACTCTGGGAGCCTGAGGCAGAAGGACTCCAAGTCCAAGTCTAGCCTGGGCCACACAGTGAATTCAAGGCTGGCCTAGGTCAGGTAGCAAGACCTGTCATTCACAAATAAGTAATAGTCAATCCTGTATTTCAAACAGTGCCGCCATGAATGTTCTTTCCTGTTTGTGCCACTGCCTCACAAAGATGAATCCTGGACATGGATGCCTCACTAAGAATAAACACAGGGGAGCTTCCCTAGCCACTGCCACATTCCCCCCGACAGCAGTGTGAGAGAAATGCCTGCATCCCTGGGACCCACCAGCCGCATGGGATTTCTGGATTCCTGCCTGCTCTATAGTGCTACCTCACACCAAGAAGAGCTTGTCAGAACACTGACTACCATCGCTGGCAGGTCGCCTGTTAGGTGCTGACCATACGGGGCTGCACCTCACCACTGGTTTCTCTCCAGCGACTGTGTTTCACAGGGATGAACAAAGCAGGGTCTCCAGGAGGTTTGCTCCCTCCCACATATCCAGAGTTCCCACACAAAGAAACCAAATTCTAGGCAGGGCAGACAGTGGGAGGCTGGAGAGTGCACCTTCCCAGTGCTGAAGGGTCAAATGACCAGACTCCTCAGCAGGCTCCCATCCTAAGAACACACAGCCCCTGCAGGTGCCACAAGCATGTCTGCTCTGTACCAGGACTCAAAGGACAACACAGGTGGATCCACCTACACGGGGGTCAAGGCGAGGTACAGTCAGACACACAACCACCTCAGACACCAACTGCCACAAAGATACCAAGCAGGATCTGGGAACAGGACTACTAGGCTGAGGAACCACAGGGCCCGAGCCAGTGCGGAGGTCCTGCGTATTCCCGTTTGTCCGCACCATCTGAGCAAATGCTGCCCTCATGACTCACTCTGGGGTAAGCTTAACTCAGAACACTTTCATCAGCACAGTAAACACAGTAAAGAAAACACACTTCACCTTGTGTAACTTGGCATTGTGCAGGAGTTTCCCAACAATGGGACATTTATGTCCCCTGTTCCTTAAGGCTATGTCTACCCTTCCTGGGGCAGCTTCCCCAATAAGTGCCACATTGCCCCTGTGGGCGGAGATTCTTCCATCCCCATGCATGAAGGAGCATGGAATGACATACAGGCTGCTGTACTGAATGACACAGACAATAGGGGAACAGCAGCTCCCCCTCAGTGAATGCTAAACAACAGACAGCACCCCAGGTTCAGGCCTCTTTCTTTCTTTTGCAGAACCAGGGATTGAACTCAGGTCCTTGCACTTCCCAGGCAAGCGTTTATTCTACTGAGCTATGTCCCCGGCCCCAGGCCTCTTTCTTTAACCTCTCCCTTAAATCTGTTCTCTTGGGAAGAAGCAGACACAGATGTGGATCTGAACCCCAGCCAGCCACTGACTGGTGAAACAAGGGCAGACTCTCCGGTTCTCTTCTAGAAAAGCAGTCAGGGTACAAGGGACAATGAATGGGATCCAGCGCGTACAAGCCCCACTGTGGTACATGCAGCAGGTGCTTCTTCATCCTGGGCCTCCATGTCCCCATCTAGATAATGAAGTTACTGTGGATACCACCAGCCGAACAAAGCTACCTGCATAGTACTAGAAAAGCACCCAGCATCAAATAATGGAACTTAACAAAAAAAAAAAAAAAAAGGGTATACAGATGAATGTCTATTTTGTATCTGTGTATTCACAATGGTTAGGATAAATATATAGTTACATTCTCTTAATTAATAGAGTGATTTGTTCTAATGGTGTTTGTAGATAGGATATCATATCTGCATCTTGTACAGCAATTAACCATTGAGAGAAATAATGTATGCAATGTATTAATTATTGAAACTGTCCTACCAATTTGATTTGAAACTGTCTCATTGCTATTTATCAATAAAATTATGGAAAAAAGAAAAAAGAAAAGCACCCATCATGGGAAACTCCTCAGGGACCTCCACCCTTGGATACCATCCACACAACAGATCTAGGACATCTTGTCCCACGTGGACAGCACTGTCCTTAAGAGGGCTCTGTGCTCCACCAACCAGCACAGAGCACTGTAAGAGTCTGCACAAAGCCCTACCAAGTAAAGCCATGCCCTGCTGTTCTCCAGTCGGTCCCTTCTGAGACAGAGCTCATAGTCTGAAGCCTGCTGGTCCTGTGCATATTTTGTTGTGCTCCACCTAGACTGATCTGAGTCTCCATCCCCATCCCACCTTCCTAGTGAGCTCCTAGGCAGCCCTCACAGCCCTACCTCCAGCCAGGAGGGGTGGCACAGACCACACAGCTCCTCTTGGGCAAAGCCTTTTCCTCCCCTCACCAGTTTGTGGTCTCTTTGGAGCCAATTCGAAGACAGTCTAAACAAATCCTGATAGGAGACAGTGTGGGCAGGAAGGACCCAGTGGAGGAAGCAGGGCTGGATGAGCCCCCAGGCTACCTGCTCCTAGCTGTCACCAGACCATCAGGCCCAGAAAAGGGCCAGGCGGAAGAGAGCTTTGCTAAGCAATCTAAAGTGTCCCTCAGATCGGAGCATAGCCTTCACTACCTGCAACCAAGGAACAGTGCAAAAAGGTTAGAACTGTCCCCCACCCCAGGCTCCACACAGCACAATACTGCAGACCAGAATGCTTCTGACACAAGCAACTGTGCAGGACAGGAGCCTAGAGGATGAATGCAGCTAAGGTAGCAATGAAGCGAACACAACATGTCAACCTGCATAGCCCAGACTGGGAGCAAGTCTGGGCTGAGCCACACACAAAGCAATAAGGCAGGTAGCTACCCAGGGACCCACACGGTGGGCAGGCCAGAGGGGCACCCGAGGAGGGTGTGCTCCCCAGAGGAAGCACTCCTGAAAGTAAAAGAACCTAAAGGGGCTGGGGAGATAGATCAGTAGAATAAGCGCTTGCCTGGCAAGTGCAAGGCCCTGAGTTCAATCCCCGGTTCCAAAAAAAGAACCCTGAAAGTCACAAAGAAAAAGAAACTAACTAAAAGAAAAATAGACAAAAGACCTGAATGGTTACTTCACCAACAGTCAGTACAGAGCAAGCCGCTGCTCGGCTTCACAAGTAGAAGCACAGTGATGCTCTGTTCCCTAAGCATGTCCTGAAGTGCCAGAGTCCAGTGCTGGCAAGGTGCAGTCTGATGCAGCTACATTAGAAAAACACAGCACTCAGACCCTGTGACTCGACAGCTCCCCCAATCCTAATCAGGGATGCAAACCTGCACACACAAGCTCAGTGTCACAGCAAGCCGATACCAGACAGCCCATATGCCTGGCACTGGGAGAGGAGACATTCACATGCAACATGTCAATATAATATAAAATGACCACATATCTGAGTGAGAACTATTGCTCTTCTCCTTGCATACAAGTACACGATTGCCTAAGAAATAGATGAAATGTCTTGTTGCTCTAAATCAGCTTAAGACAACCAGGCCAAGCCAGGTATGGTGGCACATGTCTATAATCCCAACGGATTAAAGAGTCTGAGGCAGGAGGATCACAAACTAGAGGCCAATCTGTGCAACTTGGCGAGACTCCATCTCAAAATTTTAACAATTAAAAGGGGTTGAGGATATTTTTCAATACAAAAGCCCTAGGTTCAACTCCCAGCACAGGTATGTGTGCACGCGCGCACACACACGTGCACGTGCGCACACACGCGCACACCTGCGCACGTGCACACACACACCCCCCATATCAAAGCCAGACAAAATTATGGGCCAAGGT